ATATATATATATATATATATATGTTATAATAGGTACCAAAAGAAATTAATAGATCATATAAATGCAAACCCTAATTGTATATTACCTAAAGAGAAAAGGAAAGAAATATTAAAAAGATTAGAAGAACCATTACAAGATTTATGTTGCTCAAGGACATCATTTAATTGGGGTATATCTGTACCTAATAATCCACAACATGTTATGTATGTATGGTTTGATGCCTTACTTAACTATTTAACAGGTAACTATCTCCTTCTCCTGTTGTTGCTGCTGTTGTTGCTGCTGTTGTTGCTGCTGTTGCTGCTGTTGCTGCTGTTGTTGCTGCTGTTGTTGTTGATGTTTTTCCTGTTGATTTATATATATGTATATATACATAACTTTATATATATAAGAGATAAATATATGATATAACCATTAGTATTATTAATAATAATATAATATATATATTGGTATATATATAATATAACATATAAATAAATTCATAGTGTTTAGTGTTTAGTGTTTAGTGTTTAGGGTTTAGGGTTATATATATATATATGTATACAGCATTATCTCCATTTTCTCCATCACGTTGTCCATTATGGACATATCCACCACCACCTCCCCCATCAAAAGAAGAAGAACAACAAGAGGAGGAGGAAGAAGAACAAGAAGAGGAAGAAGAAGAAGAAGAAGAGAGAAAAGATTTTTGTATACCTCCTGATGCTCTCTCCTCTTGTTACCATATTATAGGTAAAGATATAAATTGGTTCCATTCTGTTATTTGGATTTGTTTATTATTTTCATTAAATATTAATTTACCTAAAGTTATATTTAATCATTCATTTATATTATCTTATAAAGGAGATAAAATGAGTAAAAGTTTAGGTAATGTTATTAATCCTTTATATTTATTTAATAATAATAAACAAGAGGAACAAAAACAAGAAAAGGAACTATTAATTAATCATTATAATAAAAAAGGAGAAAAATATATACATAATGATATATGTAGTGGTAAGGGATTAGATAAAGAAAAGGAGATAGGTAATAAGGAAAAAGAACAAGGAGGAGGAGAAGGAGGAGAAGAGGAGGAGGAGGAGACAGGTAATCGTAATTTATATAGGGAAATATTTAGTAATAGGGTAGATAGTATAAGATATTATCTATTAAAAGAAACAACAACAACAACAACAACAACAGGAGGAACAGGAGGGACAGGAGGAGGAGAAGGAGAAGGAGGAGGAGGAGGAGGAGGAGGAATAAATGATATAAAGTTATCTTTTGCTGCTGTTGCTGCTGTACATAATCATGATTTAGTTAATTTAATTGGTAATTTATTACATCGTCTTATTGGTCTATGTATAAGATATAATAAGGGAAAAATACCTAAAAGATATTATTTATATAATAATAAATATATATATATAAATAATAAATATATAAATAAATATAATATAAATAATATTAATAAAGACACCAATAATAATAATAAAGACATTAATATTAATAATAATAATAATAATAATAATAATAATAAATATTATTATTATTATTATGCTAGACCACCACCATTTACAC